ACTTCTCGTTGAGAAAGGGGTGTCGATTGCATTCAGAGACTAGTTGATCCGATCCATAATTCCTCTTTTAGGTTGTAGAGAACAGACTGTGAGAGAGTGTTCCAGGGAAAAGTAATACAAAAAACACGAGACTAGACGAGGACACAAGAGGCTAAGCAGGGAAGCTAATGGAGAGGAGGAGGAGGAGAAAAGTTCGACCGCCTTCGTCAAGAGCAGAAGATATGATACAAACCACTGCAGAAGAAGCCAAACCTGGACCTGGCACTTCACACAAATTATACACCTATTTCAAAACCTTTGATGGCTAAAATATAAGAAAAGCTTGTTGAGACACAATTTAGGAAAGTGTTGGAGAAGCACAACATTCTTGATAACTCTCAATCTGCCTTTACAAAGTTGCATTAAACTGAAGAGCTCTAGTTAAAGTCACAAACAACCTTTTGGAGGGTGTCTCCTCAGTCCTTCTTTTGCTGGACCGTAGCTCAGCCTTCAATATCTTTAATCATCAAATGTTAATCCACAAATGAAACCACGTGATCAGGATGTCTGGATTTCCAGATTTCTGAAGCTTAATGCAGAAAACAGTCTGTAATTATTGCCCAGAATATCTGAGGCCTTTTCTCGTCCACTGTAAAGGCTAATGCTCTGAATGTTGGCTTCACTCTTTGAAATATCTGACAGTCTCCATCCACGGAGCCTATCCCAGCGACCACAGGACGAGAAGCAGGGTACACCTTTGACAGGTCATAGAGCGCTCTTATAGTCACATGGTCTCTCTACAGTAAATTTAGTGGCCCAGTTAACCTGAGCCCACTGCATGTCTTTGAACTGTGGGAGGAAGTCGGAGTAGACAGAGAACCCACGCAAACATTTCAGTAATGTTTCAGTAATGACTCTCACTCACATCACCGCACTCTGGGTTTTCTTCATCCACACTTCCTATAATTTATAATCTCTTTCTGCTATTTGCACATTTTTTTACTGTAAATTTCTAAGTCAAATCTGTAAATTTTGTATAACCTGTAAATTGTAAATACTGTAAAACCATTGTCATTTAATGGTCGGGCATTGCATTGCACAGCTACAAGCATTTCACCTCATGTCATACTGTGTATGGTTGTGTGTGTGACAAATAAAATTTGAATTTGAATAATGTTTCTGAGTTCATGTTTGTTGTTTTACTTGATTCAGATGTGGTCATATGACTGTGTTTTATTAATGCCTTTGAAAGACACTTTAAATATACTTGACTTATTTAATCACTCTTGCAAAAATGTTTCAGATTTAATTTACTAACATAATTTCTTAATATTCTGTATCTGTTAAATTGAGAGGGTCCAAGGAGCCGCAGGCCTCAGTTTGTCCAAATTGGCCAATCAAACTATTGAACATCTCTAAGACTTTCTCTGGTCCTTAAATAACATCCTCGGCCAGTCAACATCTTTAACAACATTGAAAGTGTTTAAAAATCCTTCTACAGTCATTTTCTGTCCCAGTTTAATGACTTTTCATGCTTATTGAATGTTGAGATGACTGAAAGCTGCAGGGACCGAGCCTGCTTTTCAACATCTGCTGCATCAGTGAAAATTAAACCAGTGCATGTAGCCACCTTAGTACCATTAGATTTACGAGAAACTCTTCATTTGTTTTTTTATTTCAGTTTGGATTTTCTGATTTATTCAAAAATGTTTCAGATAAAAGGAAGTTGGAGATTGGTTTGATTTGTTTATTTTATGAGGCCGTGACTGAAACCTCGCAGGGTAAAACAGCTTGGAGCACAAAGTCTGCATGAAGAAATCATCGCAGAAGGTGCGCTGGAATCTGATAAATAAGAATACTTTGGAGGGGATCTTATTCTAATCAATTATAAATTGATACATACATAAAGGACAAACGGACTTGAATGAATACCCTGAGTGTATTCATGTGTTCACGGATGGTGCTAAAAGTCCAGATACTGGAAGTACAGGGTTTGGAAAAGCAGTTCCGTCAAAGAATATTGAAATAAACAGACGCACTTCGGATGGACTGGCAGTGTACACGGTTGAAATGGTAGCAATTTTGGTAGCGTTGAAATGGGTAGAGTGTTCAAAAATCAGGCAGGTGGTAGTGTGTTCTGACTCAGCAGCTGTTCTTTCAAGTCTACGATCATTTTGTTCGAAGACGAGGCAGGGCATGCTGTATGCTATTCTGGAGACTATAAGCAGAATAAGGTGTTGTGGTGGCAATATTCACTTTCTTTGGGTGCCAGCTCATGTAGGCATCAGTGGAAATGAAAAGGTGGATAGGTTGGCAAAAGGAGCGTTGACTAAAAATAGGACTGAGATGGAAATTAAAAGCAGCGGATCCGAAGCAAAAGGTATTGTTTGGAGGCAGGTTGTTCAGGAGTGGCAGAAGCGGTGGGATTCAGGGAGTAAGGGCAGGCAATTGTATCATCTTAAGAAGGAGGTGGCAGGGTGTAGGTTGTATAGGGGTAATAGGAGAGATGAGGTGGTCATTTCCAGGCTTAGACTGGGACATTGTGCATTAAATAAAACACTACAGATGATAGGAGAACATGACGGGGCTTTGTGGAGTGCGCCAGGAGGAGGAGGAGACAGTAGAGCATGTAATACTGCGGTGCAAGGGCTATGATGTGGAGAGGACAGTTCTGCAGAATAGATTGAAGGAGCGGGGAATTGGGGGATTTAATCTGAAGAGTGTGTTGGAGGGTAGTAGGGCACAGGTGAGGGAACTGGTGGGGTTTCTGAAGGATATCGGTGTTTATGAACGAGTGTAGTTTTTTTTTTTTTTTTGATACAAATTGTAAACTCAGTCTGACTCATACTCCGGAACAGTAGGAGGCGGTAAGGCTCCTTTACGTTAGTTGCCAACCGCCGTTAAACACAAAGAAGAAGAAGAAGAAGGACAAACGGGGATTTTTCCACAACAGCAGAAGCAGTAGTTGAAGTTTCGTCCTCCTGGCAGTAGGGGGCGGTAAAAAGTCCCGCGGTCAGTTGGAGCGCAGAGCAGCGGAGGGAGCCCGAAGTTCGGCTGTGATTGTTTCACTTTCCGCTGAAAATATCCGAAGAAAGTTCTTCGGACGGCCGCGTCAGATGATCCGCTTTTACCCTGAAAAGGAGCGCTAACAGCGGGACCCTCCGGTGAGCTTGGCGGTGTTGGTTGATTAGCTGGCTAACCCCGCTACTAACTTAGCTTAGCTTAGCCTAGCCTCCTCGCCGTCTCGGGGCTGCGGCGCTGCCGCAGACCCTTGCCCACCTCCCGCTACACCCTTCAGTGAACACGGACATCCGCCTGACATGGGTCCACCTGGCTGGGGACCTCCACCTCCTGGGGGCTGGGGCCCTCCACCGCCTGGTGGATGGCCTCCGCCGCCCGATGACTGGGACCTGATAGGGCCTCCGCCGCCCGGAGGATGGGGTCCGAGAGGACCTCCGCCGCCTGGAGGATGGGGGCCGAGAGGGCCGCCTCCTCATGGTGCATGGGACCCCAGAGGACCGCTGCCCCCGGACTGGGATCCAAGGGGACCGCTGCCCCCGGACTGGGATCCAAGGGGACCGCCACATCCGGACTGGGGTCCAAGAGGACCGCCACTCCCAGACTGGCACGGCCGAGGACCCCCACCCCCTGACTGGGATCCACGGGGACCTCCTCCCCCTGGCTGGGGACCGGAGGACTGGGACTGGGACCGTCGTGCTGATTACTGGCGACCCCCACACCCAGAGGCTGACTGGAGGGGACACGACCGGCCTCTCCCTCCGCCAGGATGGGGTCATCCTGGCTGGGATCCGGAGGGCCCTCCTGAACCATGGGGCCCCGAGCCCGTCCCTCCTGCACCCATACCCTCTGTCGCCCCCCCTGTGGTTCCCCCTGTGGTCCCAGCTGTGCCTACGGTTGGGATGCCTCCCCCGGACCCCGCAGCCTTTGTACCCGCAAGCTGCATGCCTCCCTTTGGATACCCACCAGCCTACCCTCCGCCCGGCTGGACAGGAGAGGTGAGAGCTCAGCAGAGTCCACACGAACACTGCCTCAGTCACAGATATCGATCACTGATTATTGATTATTGTGTGTTGCTGTGATAAAAGCGCAGTTTATGTCAGAATAAGTGAATGTTTGTTTGTCTGGTTTCAGCCTGTGGTGGAAGAGCCCATGCCCAACCCTCCGCCTGACCAGCCCGAGTGGGTGAGTCCTGATCCCCGAGGATCCCCGTGCTCTAACCTGCAGCTGTGTGACAGATGTTGGTGATACAGTGATGGCTGTTGAACCTTCGCCAGATGTTCCTGGCTCGTTGTCTCAGAGCGTGTCACAAACTGCAGAAAATATTCAGATGTCACTAAAATGTAAAAGGATGTGACTGAGGCGCTCAGTAAAGACTCCTGCTGGTTTCTTTTTTCTCTTTGTTAGATCAAAGCTCTGATTTCAGCTCCGGCTACGGAGTCAACATCATCTGAGGCTAAAAAGCCCGCTGAGGACCCGGCTGTGGTCAAAAAAATGCCTGCTGCTGAGCCCGCCCCCACCGCCGCTGCTGCTCCCACCGCCCCCACCACTCCTGCCCCGAAACCTAAACCTGAGGTCAGCACAATCAGTAAAGCTCTGGGGCTGCTGGGAAAACGCACATTTGAAAAGTAAGTACAGTTGGCAAAAATCACTCCCACCAGACTCCATTCACATAAACTCTAATTTTACCTCAGAGCATTGGAGCTGCTGCTGAACAGCTGCCTGTGAGCTGGCGGCTGTGTTTGTGTGACTCACACAGGTACTGCACTCCCCTTTAAAGGGACAGTTCACCTAAAATCAAAAGCAGACTGCGGCCAGCTCGGTGGTGGAGACGTCCGTCTCTCTCAGTATAGTGGGACTAACCCTGCTCACGTGGCAGTGCTCAGACTACCAACAAATGCATCAAATTATTCTATTTATTTAATAAATGATGTATTTCTGCTGACACCTGATGTGACACCTGTGGGGCATCTGTAGAACCAGCAGGCAGCAGTTATGTGTGAGACGCATCAGCTGAGTCGAAGCTTTCATTCCAGTTTAGAAATGAAAGTTCCCACCTGGAACGCCGGCTCCTGGGAGCAGTGAGCGGCGTGTTTGTGGAGTTCACAGATTCAGTCACGTTAGTGTGGAGGTCGGCTCGTTTCAGCAGCTTTAATCTCTGTACCCTCCCTTTAACACCTGTGCTGTAAATGTGACATCACTTCCTGTAGCTGCTGTTTAAACTGCTCTCTGTCTGCAGGCCTCCTCCGGGCAGGTCCACGGGGATCATCTCCTTCATCGGGGTGAGAATTCCGTCTGACCCTCACCTGTTTACCTCCTCACCTGTTTACACGCTCACCTGTTTACCTCCTCACCTGTTTACC